ACATTTAAATTTCCTTTACTTCACTATATACAAATCTCTTTAGTTTGATTGCTTAAGTTTTGATGCTGAATAGGATCTGGAAGTCGACGAAAAATATCCACCTGTGGTTGAGGATTTTTGTCAGATAATGCTTTAGTTTGATTGCTTCCTTATCGCTTCTCATGAATACAATTACTCCATCACCGGTAATTTTGATTTCTTCCTTTAAATTTAATTGTCAAAGACTGTTTTTCTAATGGTCATAGTTTTTGCTGATAAATCTACTCTTGAAGTAATGTCAAGTTTGTGGTTGATACATCTCTCATCTTGCTACTGACCTAATTCCCTCACCTGGAACTTAAGGTATTGTAACTATGTTGTGTTTTTTTTTTCTAGATCATAGATAAACTTCATGTTTTTTCTTGATCAGGGCAAATTTATTGGTAACCTTTCAGATAACATAAGTGTTACTTACCAAACTTTTATTGGCTTACATAGACGAAAATAACATAAGTTTAAACCGATCTTTTCCTTTTTAAATATTTTTACTTACCAAACTTTCCGAGTAAACTCGCATTAAAATATGAATTATGTACTAATTATTTGATTGCAACTTGAAAAGTTTAACTCTTGAGGCTTTGGCAACATTTTAGTTACTTCAGGGGTATATTTGTCAACTTTTGCCGACAGTTATTTTCCTGATCTTTAAAAACCCAAGATAAACTAGATGAAAGCTTGTGGAGCAGCTATTCGGTGATTGAATATGAGCCGTAAAATGTGAGTTATGGTTGATTTGTAATTTTGTGCAGGTCAAAAGACAAACGTCGAATAGGAAACCAATAGACTTCATCAGGTTACATATGCTTGTAAACTGCCTAAATGAATGATCAACATAATAATTATAGTTTATTGTATTTGGTTGAATCATTTTTCTCCTCTTTTGATTTTGTTTTATAAAGTACTACATTAATTTACATTACCATTCAAATATATTTTATTAACAATATCTTGACCATGTTTAATATATTTACTCTTTACATGGTTATTAAAAAATATGAAAAGCCTTGGCAAGTTAACATAACCTCTTTTGACTTATTTTACACATTTTAATGTTTTTTATTTCTAATAATAAAAAATTGAAAAAAATTGGATTAAAACTAAACTAAATATAAACCAGGGTTTAAAACTATAAATATTAGAGAATTTAAAATATATAATAAAAAATAGTACAAGTACTATGTTATTTTCATATTTTTAAAGGAATATGATACAATGACACAATGCTACTTAATTAAACTTGGGACGACACATCATATAAATGAACTTAGCTAAAAGGTAAGGATTAAAGGTTATATTAGTTCAAATTTTAAATTGACATATTGTACTAGTCATATATTTTCCACCGTTGAAGAAAACCCTAAATATACAAAAACACACTTGAGCCACCGTTCGCCTTGATTTCTCTCAAAAAAATCTACCTGTCACAACTATGTTTGTTCGTAATATTACATGTTTCACAGTAAATGATACATATCGATGTAAATATATGTGGAGACCAATTTTTTTTAAATCTTTAAGAACCTTTATGGAGAGATAGAAGACTTCAACATATTGTTTATATGTGGAGACCAAATCAAGAAAAGTGAAGATTGTCCCTCTCAAGAGTAAAGACCAAATCAAGAAAGCAAGACGGTAAATGATAGTTATCGATGTATATATATGTAGAGAACCAAAAATGTTTATCTAAAAGAACTTTTGTGGAGAGATAGAAGACTCCAACATATATAGAAAGTAGAGACATAAGGAACTCGAACCCAAGATTATCTATCCAGAAAAAAAAACTTTTGTTGGGAGATGAGCGACTTTAACATATATAAAGACATAAAAGGACTATGTTGTACCAATGTGTGATACACTAACACTCCCTCAGAAACGGAGGCTTGATAATGTCAGACAAAGATGTGTTAAGCTATTAATCTTTATACCTAATACATGAAACCCCTAAAAGCCCCAACTTCAAGTCCTAAACATTGAACTTTAAAATAAACTATTGACGAAAGATATTACAAACTTGTATATACGTTATAGATACCTTTTAAGATAAAAAGATATTTACTAATACATTGTGTTTGCTTAGGAATATGATATGTTTTCAAATGAATAATCGTCCCAAACTACAAAGTATTATTCTTTTTTTAACCAAAAATTACAATCTACTTTTAATGTTTTATAATGATCAATAAGTTAAGTTTTACATTTAAAACAAGACATTTAATGTTTTAATTTTTATATATGAAAACATTTTTAATGTGAGTCTTTTATTAACAATATTTTTTCTTGATTATATCTATACTATATTATAAAAAGAAAATCTTATTTTTCCTAAAAATAGATTGAATATAATAATATTATTTTTTAAGATGTCAAAACCATTAAGCTAATAGTACAACAAATCATCAATATAATAATAATGTAATCTAAGTCATCCAAATAATAATGCATTATGTACAAATATCTTATATCTTAATAAACCTATACTGTCAAACCTAAATGTTTCAATTTTCCGTCTCATGTTTTGGTGTTAGGAAGCTTGCCAATTTGGATTGATGTTTACTAATTGATGAATGAGGGTTTTGTTTGGATTTAGATAGTTGTAAAGGGCGGATGATGCTTAATGTAAGAAAACTTTTCATCTAAATTAATTAACAGTGAATTAAATCAAATCCAGTAAGAACCAATTATTTCGTATAGTCACATTTCATCTTACATTGGTAATTAGTGGTTATCATTGACAACATGTTATCTTATTTTTGAGAATTAGATTTTACCCATGTATTTTAATTGGCAATTAGCTTTTACCATCGCATTTTAATTGGTTAGGTAGCAAATATTCTTAGTCCACCGTTGTGTCTTATGGTTATTACAAATTAATAATTATTATTGTAAAAAGAGTTAAGATAAATCCCTTCTTGATGACCACTTCCCTTAAATTTAGGGAGATAATTTGTACACAACAATTTTTCTCCATACACAACAATTGATGCTTTAAAATGTTGTACTGTACAACTCTATATGCATAAATGTTGTGTATGGCAAAAAATTGTTGTGTACGAATCACTTTTATTTGTAGATATCAGCTTCCAACCAAAACAAAAACTAAAACTACCATAGCAAAACTATTCATTGAAAAATAGTTATTCGTTGTCGGTGCCCGCCGCTAATTCTTTGTAACATTTTAATTGGAATCCAACAATTCATTTAGTCTTTTAATTCTAACGTATCAAAGTCTTTGAAATCGAAAACTTTAAATCATAAACGAAACTATTTGAGGAAAAGACATAGAACACGTTTTTTTTTAACAAAACAACATTCTTTTGATCAAATGTGTATATAGCTTATTCATAAATGTAATGCATGTGTTTTGAAATACAAAATATTTTTGAAAGGTACTAATCGGCGAAAAGAAATAATTTTGTGTTCCTTGAAATAAAACATGTTTTCGAATAGAACTAATCGTCGAAAGAAAATAAGTGTCGAATGAAGCTATTCGCCGCCGCCGCTTTGCGCGGGTACACGGCTAGTGTGTGTGTGTATATATATATATATATATATATATATAATAGATATAAGATATATATATATATATATATATATATTGAAACCTGTTAAATAAACAATGCCATGTTTCAATGATAACATCATAACAAAATTTTAGTTTTAGACCATCTCCAACCACTTTCATTTCTTTTCTAAAAAATGGAGTAAAAAATGGGGTAAATAGTGTTTCATTTCCAACCCTATTCCATTTTTTACCTCCAAAAAGTATATTCCTAATATATATTCCATTTTTACAATTTATATAGATTGTCAATCATACATCTTCTACTAATTTGGTTTTAACAAATATATAATCTATATTTTTTTCATTACAATACTATTAAATAAATAAGATTATATTTATAACACTTAATTATAAGCTTTTGTAAAATACGTTATCGTATTTTAAAATTTCCAATATGTTATTAAATTTTTATATGAATTTGATAAACAAAAAAACTTTATATTTAATAATTAATTAATATAATTTAATATATAATACAATATTATAATTATTAAATATTACATTAAATTATAATTAGTAGATAAAAATAAACTAATAATATATAAATATATAAAAAGAATGACTAAATCGACACTCAACAGGTCAGTCTTCCATTTTGGAAGAAATGAATAGTATAACACCATATTTGGTGTTATACTATTCATTTCCCCCAAAATAGGGGAATAAATGGGGTAGGGTTGAAGAGGAATGAGAGAAAAAATGGGAGAAAAAATAGGAAATTGGAGTGGGTTGGAGATTCTCTTATAGTTTTACTAGTTTATAACCCGTGATAACCACAATTTTAAAGTTAATTAAACTTTCATATTAAAAATTAAACATTATTAATTAATTATTTTAAATAAATAATTACTTAAGAGATATTTTTTTAGTTATATAAAATTATAATTGTTGATTTAAATAAATATATGAAGTTATATCACCTTATAATCTGTATTAAATTTATATTTTATTTTTTAACCTAATGTTATTAATTTAATATAATTAGAATGAAAAAAAAATTAAAATGGAAAATCAATTATTAATTTAATGTAATTAGAGTGAAAAATTTAAAATTTAAAATTTGAAATTAATAATTAATATGTTGACATTTGGCATTATAGGTTATATATAGTTATTAACGAGGAGTTCTAATAGTATGACACTTGTTAATAGGAGAATAAACCTATTCATTTATTAGAATAGAGATTGGACCTGATTAAATTTTTTATGAATGAATAGAATCCGGATAATTTGTTACGAATATACGCAATTAATCCTTAAAATTTAATTAATGAGACAATTAAAATAAACGGGTTTGAATAAAAAGGATTTAAACATCCAAACCATCTATCAACGTTACATCATATGACCATTCTTGGTTTAAAAATTTGAAAAAAAAAACACTTGTAAAAAATGATGATTAGACTTTTTCTTCAACTCGAAGGGAATCGTTTTCATCTCTTACTTGTTCTACCTTACGATAAAGTAAAATAAGGCCGAACCAAATGAGACCTTTCAACACCCTAACCATCCCAATCGTCACCACCAAATAATACAACCACCAACCCATGAAATCAACCATACCAACACCCACATCCATCTCTCTCTTCATCTCCGTCACCACCACCAGCGACTCCACCTCATCTCTCAACCTCCACCACCACAAACAACCCAAACTAGCCCCCATCACCACCCTCTCTACCCATCTCTCCTCCACCTCAAAACCATATATCGTATCATCCACCACCGGCTTCACTATCGTTCGCCACCAGTACTCCGTCGTGGCATACAACCCCAAGAAAAACACAATCCTGCATATAAAATTCCTCTCATGACCAAAACCCGAACCATCGATGCCAGCCCCTATGCTCCCTTCGATCCCCAGTCCAACACAAACCTGCAACGTGCAGAGAACAATCCACGCTGTATACAGACGCGGTCTGACGGTGGTCCCTGGTGAAACGGAAAAGCTTGGGAAAGTGATCCGGCCATTATTCAAGGTATGGACAAGGGAAGCAACGCAGAGAAGGGAAACAAGTATGTGGAGAGGGCTGAGTGGGATGGAATTTAGGAGGAGAGAGAAGAAGACCAGAGAGGGTGGCTGAGCCGCCGGGAAATCATTCAGGGACAAAAGATAATCAGCGGTGGAAAGACGAGCTAGGAGGAGGAATGAGAGGGGAAGGAGGAGGCTGAGAAGGGTTGTTGTGAAAATACGAAGGGTGCCTCTCCATTTCATTAAAATATTCTCAGTGATCCTATTCAGCCTCGTTATTTTGATGGAAGCCATATTGATCCGTATATGTTCCAAGAATTTGAATTTGAATCGTCTTGAGAGGAGACATTTGTTGAAGAGGTTATATATATATATGTTTTCGCAACGACTAATGAATAGAGTGGCATCCACGACTCGGTAGTTGGTTGACATATGACAGGGTTTCACTTGATGCCATTGAGGACGACGACTACACATGGCAACCAATCTACTAAAATATACTTATAATCCTAACAAATTTGTTAAGCATTTTACTATTTGAAAATAGGGGCGTAAACAAGCCCAATAGTGCCAAGGTCGAAATAACAAAAAATATTCTACATGCTTTAACGTTGTCAAAACTAAAAAAATCCAGTCAACCATCTAATGTAATTCTGGTTTTGCATACATCCAAAATAGCAAAAATAAGCGACATTTGATGCAATATAGCAACAACCATTCAACTATTAGCTAGTAACATGTTTCAATAACAACAAAATAATAATAATAATAATAATAATAATAATAAAATAAAAAATAAAAGATATTTAGACATCAAAGCAGCAACAAATTAACCAAAATCAGCAAACATTAAAACACCACCAAAAAATAACAATTTAACCAAAAAATATTTTTAACCCTTTTTAAATATAGAGTAAATTACATGGATGGTTCCTATGGTTTGGTCCCTAACTATTTTTTCTTAACTCAGACGGTCCTAATATGTATTTCTATTGGGTGTTGGGTCCCTCAATATAATAAAAAGACTAAATCACTAAACTACCATTTTTTATTTTTTTATTTGTTTTTAAAAAAAATCTGATAAATTAATATGGTGGGACCCACCGTAAACCCTTACCTTCGTTACATTTCAATCATCCCCTGCCACTCCTAAATTATCCCTCTCCCACCAAAACCCAAAATGCACCATTTTTTTTTTCATTTACAGTGGTTAGATCTACCTTTGCTAACACCATCACCGTTGTTGCCATGAGCCTTCTTCTTCTTCTCTCACTCATCTGCATCGCCATCTGCAAGAACCCTCTACTCACCATCTTTTAATTCCTATGAACAAACCCAAACCCCTGAAGTTAGAACACTGTTATCGTTCCGGTGACGTTGATATTCTTCGGCAAGTCGTCGTTGGCAATGGTCTGAAATCGGAGTAAACCCTAACCCTGAAGTCGGAACAACTTACATCTGAAATCGAAATTTTTCTCGAAATGGAACCAGGTTAAACGCCTTTTTCGGTACATGTGGTTGCTATGTGGTGGTTTCGTGGGAGTAGAGCTTTTAGGCAAAGGGAAATTGGTGTTTTCTGGCAAATGTGCCTTAGATCTGCAAATCAACACTTTTCCGGCAAGGGGACCGGGTCAAAAACATTTTTCGGCAATTGTGATCAAATCTTTGTTGTTCTTAGAATTCTACAATTTCTTATCATTTAGATCAGTGAAAGATGAGAACTGATCATTTGATTGTAGATTGAGCATGATATCAATAGTCTCTGAGTAGCCATGTTTTCCGATGACCTATAAGGTCTCCGTCTCACAACCACTTTTTCCGATTGAGCATAATATTAACTGATTGTTGTACTCTAGTTCTTTTTTATGGGAGAGAGAGAGAGAGATGTTACCTGTTAAGAATTGGGTAGAGAAAGGGTTGCTGAGTGGATCTCATTCAACATAAAAATTTAAATAAATAATAAAAAGGTTTTAAAATATAAGATATAAACAATAAATAAATCCAAAAAAACGAAGAAGAGTAATATAGTTTTTTTACGTCTATTAGGGACCAAACACGCAACAAAATATATTATAAGGACCGTCTGAGTTAAAAAAAACAACTAAGGACCAAGCGTGCAAATTATCCTAAACCACAGGGACCATTTATGTAATTTAGTCTTAAATATATGTTAAAAGAATACTTACTTCTCGTATATCTAAATAATGTTTGGTTTTTTCTTTTTTCTAATATACAGGAATAAATCCATGGATTTTGGGTTTAATCGGAGTTTGTTCAAGGTTTACACATTATACATAATTTTTAATCTAAAGAATGTAGGGTTATTATCACTGTACCCCAATAATGTTTAGTATATCGGTTTAAATGGTCCATCGTGATTTTTTTTTGTCTATGAAGGGTACAAACTTGTTTTTTTAGGTTTTAAAAAGGTCCTTACGGAAATGTGAAGGGGTCACCCGGTGACCCCCATCCTAATTATCTGTTTTCATATGCCACATAATGCCACAAAGATAAAACTAATCCATCTCATTTGCCACGTTGGTGTGAGTAATAGACCTAAAAACGTATGTTTGAGGAACACTCAATCAATAGTCTCTTTCGTCGTCTTTCTTCCGCTTATTCCCCCCCCCCCCCCCCCCCCTTTTTCTGCAACTGTTCTCTCAAATCGCTGAAGTGGATCCTTGCTATGGTTGTTTACATGAAGAGCGATCTATATTTTGCAGGTATTTTTACGAGGCTCCCCGCTATTACGTACTGAGATGGAACGAAGCAGAGGTTTGAGGATGTCGATTTTTTCGGGATGGAGATGAACGAATTTGTGGTGTTCGTTAAAGATTCATGAATGAGAAATGTATCAATGTGTATTATTGCATTTCGATATTGAATTTCCTGATGGATTAAGGATAATAGCTACCGAAAAGGACTACTAGGAGTTCATCGAAGTTGGATATGCTAGTGGTTGTGTAGTTCTTGTATGCATGGATCATCTTGGTGTTAATGTACATTAATGGATTATTTATGGGCAAGCTAAAGTATGCAGCCTCAAGACGAATTGTCTGGTGTAGATGAAGTTCCTGAAGAATTACAAGGTGATATGGATGTTGGCATTGATATGGATGATTTGCAAGGTGATATGGATGATGACATTGACATGGAATTTGACAATGAACCTGATGATTGCATTCCTATGAACAAGACAAAAAATGATGAGTTTCTGAGTAAGCTATGCCCAAAGGAGCAAGTAACCCCAGACAATCCACCTTATGAGGAGCCATATGATTAGATGAATGAGGATGAGGTAATACATAATGCCCAAGCTATTTATAATGAAAATGTTTATTGGAAAAAGCATAAGCCTATATTAGGTATGAGATTGGAAAGTCCTAAACAACTGAAACATATGATGTGCAATTATGCTGTTGCAAATGGTTATCAGTTATGCTACAAAAAAATGATAGTAGGAGACTTTTAGTTAAATGTTGTTCTGGGAGTGCAAGTTTAGAATGTGGGCTTCTTGGATTAGTGAAGAAAAGTTTTTCCAGATTAAGAGTCTCATAAATGAGCATAACAGTGCAAGAAGCTTCAAATTAGGATCAATTGTTAACTATTCCTGGATTAGTAGCCATTAGACCACATAATTCTTACAGAAACAAAAAGTTAGTGTTAGGATGCTTATAGGAAGAGGTTAAAGAGAAATTTGGTATAGATGCGAGTAAGGAAAAATGTAGAAGAGCAAAGAAATATGCAATTGAACTGATTGAAGGAACATTAGTGGAGCATTATGCAAAGCTTTGGTCATATGGTGAAGAGATAAGAAGATCAAATCCAGGAACAACAATCAAAATGAATGTCAATTGTATGCCAGATGGTAAGAATTAGTTTAGCAAGTTTTACATATGTTTTGAGGGCCTCAAGCAAGGTTGGAGAGGGAGTTGTAGAAGAGTAATAAATTTGTATGGTTGTTTCTTAAAGGGTTTATGTACTGGAGAGTTAAGATGTGATGTAGGAAGGGATGCTAATAATCATATATTCCCAATTTCATGGGCATTTTTCTATGTAGAAAATAAATAAAATTGGAAATGGTTCTTGGAAAATATTAAAGATGACCTTGAATTGGGAATGGTTTTGGTATTACATTGATGCCAAATCAGCATACGGTATGTCTATTACTTTCCTCTGTTACATATTGTAACTTTCAGTTTAATTTTGTTTAACATATTACCATTCTTTTTGTAGGGGCTATTGGAGGCTGTCAAAGATGTATTGCCTACTGCTAAACATAGGCAGTGTGCAAGACATATTGTTGCCAACTTTAGGAAAAGATTTAGTGGTGTACACTATGAGACAATGTTTTGGAAGGCAAACAAGACATCCACTGAGCCTTTATTCAATGAAGCCATGAAGGAGATTGAACTGCTTAATCTTGTAGCGTTTGCATACCTTATGGAAATAAACCCCAAATCTTATAGTAGAGCATTCTTTCAAGAGGTAGGATGTGTGATGCAGTGGAAAATGGATTATCTGTGTGACATCCCTATTTTTCACGGTAAGAAAATACATTTTTATTTATTCTTATTTTAAAACAGAGTATTCTTTATTTTTGAGGAATTGGTCCCGTAAAAGTATTTCCAAATAAATGTTTTTCATTGATTATTTAAAAACTCGGGATGTCGTAACTGATACAAGAAACATAAGCATAAGCGTAAATATCATTGGCCTTACAACATCTAATGGCCTGTATTTCCTTTAATCTCTCATAGAATCCAAACATCATATACCTTCGTATCGATACCTTTGATACAAAAAATTGAGTGGGTTAGGTTGGGAAACCTGGCGAGTACATAGGGTTTTCAACCCAAAATAATATAGTTAATTTGATTAATTATTTACCTCATATTAAACAATTAACACGATTACCCATCATCATCTTTTTACATCTTCAACCCTAAGGACCTATCCTAAGGATCATCGTTTTTGACAATACGGTTACATGGATTTCTCCGCAATACATATTAGTAGGAAGTAGAGTACATCTTATGAACATGAAGTTCATCACTTACAGGTTTTGTTGACCTACATGTGTTCCACATGTGACATCCCCAAATGTACGGTCATTTTAAAAAAATTATTTATGCTTATTTTAAAACAGGGTATTTCTTATGTTGCGGAATTGGTCCCAAAAATATTATTTAAATGTGAGATAATATTAACATTAAATATATCCGAAGAAACGTTCGATATTGATGTCGTTTCAAAACTTGGGATGTCATAACTAATACAAAACATAAGCATGA